TAGATAATACTGTTCAGTTTGAATTTTCGTCTAAAGAATATGTTTAATATACTACAACTTAATATTCAATTAAACGGATAATAATTCTAAAGCATAATGTTTATTATCATAGAATAGAACTTTTTTTTAGTTTTTTTTTATTGATCTTAAGTACATCTTCGACTTCAATGGACATACGAAATATTTAAATTTGATGGTTGATTATTATTATAACTTATAACTATGCTATTATAACGATTGGATCGATCGTTAAACATTATAATCATTTGTGTGAAAAAATATATGCTGTTTATTTAACAATCATTATTGTTTGTTCTTAATTTTGTAATGATGAATCAAATATAAGTTTTCGTGTTGCTATTGATGACACATTATTACTACTATTATTTATTGTTATAATTTTAAAAATGTCATGCGATATTTTTCATAAGTTTTACTTATTGTAATTAAAAAAAATATCAAAAACGTTTGATTATATTTACTATAAGCGTTTATAGTTTAATTTTTATAAAACCGTGGAAAAATGTAAATTATTTTATTGAATTTCAAATATTTATAAAATTTGCAAACTACATAGTTTGTAGTTAAATATGTATAACATTTTCAATTAGTTAAGGTTTCGAATTTATTACAAGGTTCCTTATAAGTGTTTTCTTACAACAAACAAAAAATCTAGAAACAACTTATGCATAATTTTTATTTGAGACATTTAAATTTAAAATTTTGACAAAATTGGGTATTTAAACGACTTTAGTAATTTTGTTGTCTGTAATTCAAAAAATTTTGTTTGTGGGGACATTTCAAAGGACATTTACAAATCATTGTGCTTAATTTTAATCTATTTATAAAACGATTCAAGAACCTATTATCACCGTTGTACACTATTTACTTATGTGTAAAAATTATCTAGTAATATCATTCTTAAATAGAAATAATTATTATATTATAAATGCAATTTGGTTATCATTGAAATTAGTAACTTGAATATAAACATAAATTACTTATAGCAATATAAATATTATATAATACAATATCCTTAGATACATAAACTGGCTGACTAGTCTTAACTTAAGAACGTATTTAAAAATTGCAATGATTTTTCGTTGAATTTAAATTGAACATGTCAATTTCAGTGACCTACTCAATGACGAACTTCATTTGACATATACCATACAGCAAAACTAGTTTAATTTAAAAGAATTCCTTATTTTCTATATTTTTAAATGTAAATTTTTTTTTTTTCAAGAAAATTGTTGTCAGTTAGTAATTTTCAATGCACTTATAATATTTGACAAATTTATTCATATCAACAAATACTAATCTTTTTAATATGTGAGCAGAACGGTCAGTGCTCACATGTCAACAATGATGTTACAAATATAACGTTATTAACGACAATTTAAATACTGAAAAACCTGTTTCTATACATATTTAAAATTAAATTATATTTTCGCACTGAAATAGTGTGTCGTACTGTACGCTAAACTATAATTATATTATGGTATGGTCTCTGGTGGGTTGTTTTTGAAATGATTAAATAATATGTTACAGTCATTTCTTTCTAAGAAAACCGTGTTCAAATTGTACATGTGCAACAGCTGATCACAAACAATATCGCGACTCAAAAATATTGTCGGGCGGATGATAGGATTATGCGATCGCGTGTGTTTTTAAAATAATATGCTTTGGGCAAGCGACGTGCCGTGTTGCGTTTTAATGGTTTGCCGGAAGAACCCTTCCTGCTGCGCGCTAAACTGTTTTTACCGAACATCTGTGTGACTGTGTTGGATGTTGGAATTCGTTGTTCATTTATATTCTTCAATGGTATGAATTGGGAAAGGACATTGCCGTCTATTGCTAAACTGCTGGAAAACGGTCGATGTCATTTTGTATGGCATGATTTAATATTCCGGAAATCAGTGAGACTAATTGTACGTTAATTTTTGCTCTTGTCCCATTTTCGGGCACAGCAAATTATTGTCATCATGGCTTCGAAATTAATCCATAGCAATATTTCCGTCGAGCTTTTATATTTGCACCCACCCCACCTGCTTCGATGCAACATATATTGTGTACCTTTTTAACACACTCACACACCCAAAAATACATGCTCACACATAAAATATAATACACATATATGAATATAGAATATATAGTTTATAGCCCAACCATTCATTAATTGCATTACCATATTTTATATCACACTCTTTAGTGCTCGAGTTAATAGGGTTTCGGATTCGAATTGAATTAAATATGCGCTTCAAAATTCGAGTAAAAAAGTTAATTTACACCAGTATAATATATCCATTGAATTTAATTGTGAGCCTGAGAGCATGCTCACTACTATAAGCACTTGTTCTGTGTACATTTGTCACATAATATAAACATACAGTCTATTTTTATGCAGTTTGTTTGTCGAACACTTGGCTGTACAAACCGTTGATTGAACTAATAGGTACCACCCACTATTTATTTCTTTGAAATAATATTATACGCCTCGTAATAAGTATGTGTTTCCAAATACGGAGTTTAAAGTATAATAGTTTAAAAAAATAATAAACCAAACTACATGTCCTACAAAAAAAAAAAAAAAAGATTATGATATAAAATAAATATAAGTTATTTGAAAGCGTAAATAAAATATTCTTGGTACATGGCATTTCATTAAAAAAAAAGGTCAAACAAAATACATTAATTCTGCTTAAGTAAATAATAACACGATAAAAATAAATTAATACGTTTTTTTTATCGCATTTGCATTTGATAATATAAAACGCGATTCATTGAAACCCATTCAAATAAAATATACATGTATACACTATATACAATCACTTTAATATTATTTTAAACATTGGAGTTAATTGAAAATTTTTAGAAATACAACGTAATATTTATCGATGATAAAATATTATATGTTGGAGTTCTTGAATTTGCAATATTGCAAATAGCCATTATTATAATCAGAAAATATACTGTTACAAAATAGCTTTAAATAAATGTTAAAATTGTTACCTTTATAAAATATTTTACAATATTTATTTTGACGGATTGAATCGCATAAATAAACAAAATAATACTGATTAATACATTCATTTTTATATTCATAGATTACATAATAAATACATTAAAATATATCACATTATTTATAATGCATTTAGAATATTGATAAAAATTACTTTTCTTTTGAATTAATTTATCAAATTTATTGTTTGCGTATTATTTACATGTTAAATAAAATGTTAACCTATAATGACAAGTATGTACACTTATTAATCTTTTAAATTAATTTAATTTTCCATTTTAGTATTCAAATATTATTTGAATACTACTAAATTTACTTCAAATAACCTTTTGGCAGTATATACGATGGGTATTTTATTAGTTTTTTTGCGACAATAGCATTTTTTTGAATGGCATGTAAATCATGAACATAATTCAATAACGTTAATGTATAAATATGAGCAATAACTTTTAGTACTAAACTTGAAATGATTTCACAAAACTATACCTTATGATACATTATAAGCATAGGTATTTTAAGTCTACTGATTATCAACGCCATTTTTATGATTTTGTACTGTAAAAAACAACCATTAAAATAATCTTAAACGTAGATTATATTATAAAGAATAAATTGATTGTTATAAGAAACACCTGGACTAAAATTGACGACCAGACTAATTATATACAATTGATAAGATTCTTATCTGAGTTTACTGTAAAGTTTTTGTTGCATCTATAAAGCTTTGTAAGTAATCAAAACAAGTACACAAAAGTAATTAACTTATAAGTTATAATTTAGTTCTCAAAGTAAACTTAAAAAAATTACCGTCCACAATTTAATAAACCACCCAATGTTTTAAAAATGTCCATAATTAACAAAAAAAAAAAAGATATATAAATACAGTATTGCAGGGCTTTGAATCAAGAAACTGTTATTTGAAAATATATTACTTAAAAAGTTGAAAAGAGATGGGAATATAATATATTTTGTTGTAACTTAACACATTAATTAGTCGACGAATACAGTTCAAATATTCTGCAATTGAAACTATCCCATCTTTGTTTAACTACCAAATTTTAATTTATGATATTCTATTTATGATAAGTTTACACAATAAAAGCTCACATTTATTCACTTAGGTAAATAAAAAATCGGTTCTTACGCACTTACACGTCATAAATATTATATTTAATAACATCCGTTTTGAAGATCACAATAATTATATATTAATATTTAAATTCAGAAAATTATGATTTGAAATGTTACTCTTTTATTATTTTAAGAGAGAAAATTAATAGATGAAATGATTTTTCAACGGTAATTATAGAATTTCATACTACGTCGGTTGTACCAAATGCGCATTTTCGTAATATACCTTATCCTAGAAATGGTAGCGGAAGTTATGGTTTACGCATGAACCTGACAAATCAGAATATCATAACCTGTTCAAAAACGGTAGAGCCCCTTGAAATGAAATACCCATGTTATAGGTATCTATGGAATATTTAATACATCGAATTGTTATAATACGAAACGCGTAGTTAAAATTATTGTCGGACCCCCACCCGTTGGTAGTTGGTACACACGACCGTTTTCACATGATCTAATCATAATGGTCCGGAGATTATTATCCACACACACACACAGACACACACACACACACACACACACACACACTCACATCCTCACTCGTCCCCTACAAGACGACAAGGAAATATGCAGCTTATGATGCTCGGGCCATCACGTTAGTCGGCGGTTCGGGACCCTCTTACCGGTTTTTCGGGTAGACGTGGTAAACAGAAAAAAAAAAAAAAAACGAACCGA